AGACTCTGCTGTCTGCACCTCACCACATCTGGCCCCGGCACACAGACGTGGATTCTGGTGAGGAACATCCCCCACCCCGCACAGGAATCGCACCCCCCAAGCTGCGAGGTGATGCGGGTCATGCGAAGACCCGTGACCCCACCCACCTCCTGTGTGCCAGCACAGCAGTCGGTGCCACAGGTATGGCCACGGCATGCTAACACCAGTGGGCCACCAAACCCCCCCAGTCTTTTTTATGTTTTCCAGCTGGGAAAGAGCCAAATCTTACACTGAGACTGCGACGCCAGCTGGAAGGCCGCCTGTGGCACCCTCTGACACTCAGTACCAGTCACACCCTTGCCCATCCCATCACACACTGGACTCATCGGTTTCTGTGGTTTTAAGTTCTGTTCGGGCTCTCTGCGGCAGCACTCACTGCTCCCAGCCTCCTTCCTGCAGAGGCGCAAGCGTAGTGCCAAGGAGCACTCACACCTTTCTCCCTGGAATTTCTGGTCATGTCCCGTGCCAGGGAAGCATCATCTCTACGGACACTTTTGGAAAGCAGTAACGGCTTCAGTGGAGGGCAAACATATGTGCTTTCCACTGGAAATCTGTACTAAAAAGCCCTTCTAATTTGTTACACATCTGTCACTAGGAGATCTCTGTCCTTCAGTTCAGAAGGGGTCTCGTTTGCTTTTTGTTCTTCTTTTTGGTTTTCTTTCCTAGGAGAACCTCTCTATAGACAGTGAATGAAAAGTGAGGTCAAGTGAGCACGTGATGGCTTCTGAAAACTGCCAGTTTTATAGAGAAAAAAGAAGAGACTGCCAAGTTTATCAGAGCAGGTCAGCATCACATGGGAGTGCTTCATGAGAAGAAGAAAGGCTTTCTTTGAAAAGAACAAACACCACTGTTCTAATTAACTAGGAAAAAAAATGCAAGAACATCAGCAGCCGGTGTCCACTGTCCTTTTGTAAAAGGTCCAACTCATCTGTGGGGTACCATAAGGAAAACTCAGCATAAAAGCAGTGTGGCTGCATACAGCTCAGAAAAAGGTGCACTACAGCGCAGCACAGACAAGGGAAGGAAAGGAGAGGGGAGCAGCCCTCCAGGGGGTGGCCACCCAGCGTGCTCTGCACAGTGCTTTGCCTGGCCCGACACAGCCCTAGAAACAGGAGGCACGGAGGGAGATGGTCTCAAGCACTTCCTCCGTGTTTGCAGGACTGCGCCCTGATCCCAGTGGCCAATACTTGCTCTGTGCTCAAACAGGTGGGGGTTTATCCTTGTCCCAAGCTCACCACTTCCAAGAATAGCAGTTACTAAAACCCAGAAAATTCTTTAATGAAAAGTTTTTCTGTGGGAAACACAATTCCCATTGTTTCACTCAAAATGCCCTCCCGTTCACTGTATCCCTCCCAGACCCCGAGCCCTGCAGGCACTAGTTAGATGTTCCCTGAATAATCCTAGGAATTACCTGCCTTTAAAAAAACTGAAACCAGAGGTTTCTGTAAGCGTTTCTAAGAGGGAATCGTGCTAGCCCCTCGCCCGCTGCCCTCGGCGGTGTGACAGCCCTGGGAGCAGGGGCCGATGGGGTGGCGATGTCCCGCAGCCGGCAGCGCCTCTGCCCCGCGCCTGCCCGAGACCTGCCCAGCGGGAAAGAGTTTGTGCTCGCCTCTTCCTGCTGGTCACCCTGCAACTCCAGCTTTGCCCCGCTTGATTTCAGAAGCTTCCTTGCTAACCCATCTTTGTTGAAATCTGGAAACTTCTACAGAGGTGTGTTTCCCAGTGTGCCTATCTTAGCCTAATCTGGGAGCCATCCATACCCGAGAGCAGCAATTTCAATTTCACATACACATCTATTGCATTTACTGGCTCTGTTGACACCACATCCTTCCATGAGCGAGCTAGTACTGTCTCCCTTTTACGTCTGGAGCTGTGCCACAGCCCGTGCAGCACAGCCTATTGCTGCAAAGGCATACAACGACTGCGCAAGCCCTGTAACTGGACAATAAATTCTCAAGAGGAGCTTGCAGAGAAACTGGAGCCACTACGCTGTGAGCTGGGCATGCTTAGGCAGCTAAAGACTTGCCTCCTTAAGACAGGAACAGAGCCTAAAGGTTTTCAGGTATCTGCAGAACTGAACAAAGCAGATTAATTTTTGTCTTAATGTAACTGGAAATATACAGTTCACATATAGGATGTCTTTGTCTTTCTTTTAAAGAGATTTGTGGAAGACAATTATTTCTCTAAACTTGTGCAAGATGGAAATTGCTTATCCTTTTACTACGCTGTCCCTGGGCTATGGCTGACTGTTAACCCTGCCTCTCTCGCAGCGGTCATACTAGCTGTAATCCTTAACTGTGTTTTAACAGTGTCACGCAAAGGAACTCCAAGTGTTCCACCGAGTTCATTAACAGGAATTTAAAAATTCTAGTCAATATTTTGGGACTACAGATATTCCTCCAAAACCATCCCTCAAGACAACATAACAGGCAGAAGGGCAAGGATTTGAAGCTGGGCAATTAAAGTAAACAGAGGAGACGGGGATTTGTGTATTTATTCTATTGACAGAATCAACTCCACATTAGCTTATACCTTAACTAGCTAAGCTAACATTTGCTCTCTAAGAATAAATGGAAAGATGCTGCTGGTCCTTTAAAGTGTAATTTGCTCCCTTTGGAGCGCTCTGCATCAAGGCAGAGCCTTCTGATAAGTCATGGTTAGTATAATTATTCAGTCTTTTTCCCTGAAGGGCCTCTGCAATGCAGCGGTCCTTTTACTTTTTTTTTCCCTCCCTGCTAGCAATGCTCTAGTTTGTTCAGTGCTGCAGTCCCCCTCCCTTCCACCACCACCACATCATAGCAATCTCTAATTGAGAACTTGCCCGCTAACTGGGAGCTCCCAGCAAACTGCAGGAACACCAGAGACACACTCACAGCCACCTTCTGCAGCTCCTCCGGATTCACCAGCACCGAGGGAATTGTCTAACAAGGGTTTTAAAACCTGCCCACTTTGCATGCCACACCGAGAGACTGGTAACAGCCGCGGATCGGTCTCCATCGCACCAGTGTCGGCTGCACTTCACATGCAACTGCCGCCCCAGCAGCAGATGAAAACCACCTGGAGACTCTCCCAATATGCAGGAGTCAAGCAAGCTCAGTTCTGATGCTGAGCACAAGACTATGTGCACTTGCTCTTTAAGAGCTATTTCCGTTTGTTTGCAGGTATGCCTCTGCAGCCAAGTCACAACCTCTCTTTACTCCTGCAATAACCACAGTGACCTGACTCTGTGCCGTTCCAACGTCGGGAGCAGTGCTGCCCCAGCCTCCCTGAAATGTCCCTCTTGTACGGGGCACGGGAAACACAGCAGCTACAGGTCAGAAAGCAGAGACAAACTGAACGTCTGTGTTCGGTGACGTTACAGGGAGGGGGAGAGCCAGGGGAGGATGCGTCAGTCTGCTGCTAATACGAATGGATAACCTTGAACAGCTGAAGATACCGGCACTGTGCCACTGAAACCACGCCTGGTGCTACTTTGAAGGAAATGATATCTTATTCTTTCCCCCCAGCCGTCTCCAAAAGCATCAGCTCAGACTCTGCACACGTACACACAGCACTCTGCCAGAATCCAGCTAGAAATGGCTCCTCCTCACCTGCCCCTGGTGCTCACGGTGCACAGACAGACTGTGAATGCTCCCACCAGCAGTGTCAGGGTGCTCAGGCTTGGCTTACGCCTGCTACCGGTACGGAGAAAGCTTCTAATGAATGCTTTAATGAAAAAAGCTTTTTCTGTCAAGGCTTCCCAGTCAGAATGAGGGAGCCCACCAAAAACCTTGGCCTGAATTAAGCTCGAAACTGTTCGGTATTTCTCCCGTTACAGTAAAACAGTTCTAAGTATTTGCCATGTCCATCAAAGATATAAAATAACAACACAGTAGCATATGATTCAAATCTCTGTAATGACAGCAATATTTTAAAGGCATTAAACTGGTATCAAAAGTAATATCCATGGTAGATTTCCCAAGGCACGTGTTGTATTACAGTTACCATGTTTGCAGCTGACAGACAGAACAGGATGAGGTTAATTGACTGAGGAACAAACTGCATCAGTGTCTTACCTCATTATTTCTCTTCCCTTCAGTATGGCCTTGTGCAAACAACTACTTCTGTGACTTCTTTTGTGTAACACTTTGTAACATTAGCATTAGTTTCTCAGCTATGAAATCTCTCAAGACTAAGGATCTGACCTTACCATGTTTGTCTCCTGTATTTAGCAGAGAAAACAGACACTCAGCAAATGGGTGACCAAGCAGGAGCGTTGGGACTTTGCTAAGATTGCACAAAATGCAGTGCCGCAGCAGCTGGCTCCCTCTGATGAAGAAAGATGAAGGCAGTGATACCGGTCCTTTCCCAGCCATTTCCCTGCACCTCCTTGGTCTGAGCTGGAAGCTGCACCTCTCTAGTCATCCAGGAAGAGAAACGAAGGCTCCCACCGTATATCCCATGCTATCAAGGCACGAGGGATGCTCCTACCAGTCTGAAGAGGCTGACTGTGGCTGTGAGGTGGCAGAGCACGCCTGGCTGGCCATCAGCACGGACTGCTCTGGCACTGAGACTCTCAGGTGTTTGACAGAATCTGCCTCTGCCCCATTTGGTAACTCCTAGGTAACGAGGTGGGATGTGGACACCACATAGCAGTGGCTGGCTAAAGTCCCCCCATTCCTTAAATTGTCTCACCATCTTCCCACTTTCTGCTTACGTAAATAAACATTTTTTTAGATAAGCTCAAGTTTCAGCGTTCTAAGGGAGGACAACTGCAGCGTCAAGGCTACTCTCCTGCTAGGGTCTGGGCAGTCCCTGTTTTGGGAAACAATCAGCTTTCTATTCAGACAAAGAGAACACCCCTTTGTCTCCTTCCCATCAAATGTAACCACATTTTGTTCCCCACCACAGCAGGAGCTGCTCCTTTCCTTCACAGACCTGCCACTTGCCACCCTCCGTTAAAGAATATCGCATGTTCTTACCATCCAAGGACAGCCAGTCATGCTGGGAGGAAGGCAGGGTTGGCAGAGCTCTGGCTTTATATTCAAACACGACAGAATTGGAGATGATCTGATTGTTGAAGGCAACTTGCAAAGTCACGAGCCCAGTGTCATGAGCTAAAAGGAAAGCACATGTGGTAAGACAGAGACATCTCTGCAGAAACGCAGAGCTTGGTATTACCCCACTGATCTCCCCGTGGGCTACGTGGCAGGCTGAGAGCAGATGCTGTCAGGAGAGGAGGCATCTGACAATATTTTTGTGACTAGACTACTGAAGAGTCCAAAACACCAATCTGTATTTTCAAACACGAAGGTTGTAGGCTTAAGGGTCATCTAATGGGCTGTTGTTTTGGCAGGAGGCAGAATCACAGGTGTTCCTAAAGATGAAGCAGCCTCACTGCACTTCCAATGGGAAGATGGGGCCTAACAATGAAGCCAAGTTATTCTGCATGCACCTAAAGCCATCTACTGAGGGCCAGCACTACTGAAAAGGAAGGCGGGAGGAGTTGTCATCCTCTAAGTACCAAGGACAAAGTGCAGAATACAGGCAAATTAAGACTCCACAGAGCAGTGAGTGCACTCCTGGGTAACAGCTGCTCTTTAATCTGCTATTTCAAAACTAAAGAGATGCTTAGAATTATTTTAAATAATTAAAAAGGTTTTAAACTGACAGAGGGGAGATTTAGATTAGACGTAGGGCAGAAATTCTCCCCTGTGAGGGGGGTGAGGCCCTGGCACACGCTGCCCAGAGAAGCTGTGGCTGCCCCCTCCCTGGAAGGGTTCAAGGCCGGGTTGGACGGGGCTTTGGGCAACCTGGGCTGGTGGAAGGTGGCCCTGCCCGGGGCAGGGGTGGGACTGGATGGGCTTTAAGGTCCCTTCCAACCCAAACCAGTCTGGGATTCTATGAAATGATTTCAAATAATTATCTGAAAGCTAATTCAGAGCTTCTAAATAATACTGGTTGTGATCTGTCAGGATCTCAAATTGCTGTTCTCACACTAAATAGGTCAAAGAAAAATCAAAAGCTTCTCAATGTCTATGCACTGCCTTTCACAATGGGTCCATGAGTTTAGTCAAGACATATACAGGACACAAGAATTTACCTGAAACCACCAGCTCTAGGGGAGGTGTTCCGTGTTCCTTACCTGGGCAGTAGCAGCGCAGTACCCCTGGCTGAATTAAAGATGCAGGCACTGAGATCTGATCAAACAGACAGCTGTAATTATTGCTGGCTTCCTGCCACGGACCAGTAATGAGGACTTTAACTCCTCCCTGTGAGGAAAAGAGGGGGGAAAAAAAAAGCATTTCAGAGGATGCCATTCCCAGCGCGGACCATCAGACGGCTGAATGTCGGAGCGTGGCGAGGGCTGGCGGAAGCGCCGGGCTACCACGGACCCTTGGCACCGGCCAACGCGGCCGCCCCAGTCCGGCACACGACATGCCAGTACTCCCCCATCTCTGCCTCTCACTCGCTCCGTTCCCCGCCTGCCCTTCGCCGGTGCCTCCCCAGCGCCGGCAGCTCCCGGCGCCCCATCCGCGCCCCGGCCCACCACCGTTCCTCAGGCTCCGGGCGCAGCTCCCGGACACCGACGGGTGCCCC